AAGGGACAGGATCAAATGCTTGTCAAATAGTGTCAGACAGCCTCGTGCTCTATCAGGGATGAAGTTGCTAGATGACGAAAGTGAGAGACAGAGAAAGAGCAGTCCAAAGGAGAGCACAGTCGAGTGAAACGGTCTTACTGCTGAATACATCTTGCGCCTCTCAGAAGAAACTCATTCGATCTCCCTGTGGAGATAAAACACAACGAAAGACAAATACAAGATCAGCAGAGATGAAAACGTGGTATGCAAGTGTTCACAGCCTCGCACACGCTTTCATCTCCTGTATCCTGACGTCAATGATTAATGTTTGATGGAAATCATTTTTTCCGTGTGAAATCTGGGTGCTAATGCGCAGAGCGATGGCTCGATGCCATTTTAAGTTATATATTATTGCATCTTATATTTCAGGTGGTACATTGCAGAAGGCCTCAAATGAGCTCCCCTCAGGAAAACAAATAATGAAACTTTAGCGTTTCAGTTTGATAAGTGACTATTTTGATAGGATGTGTTGATTTTCTTGATTTGGTAAATCTCACGCCTTCGGCATTGAGGGACATTTGGGATTAAATGTGACGTTTGCTTCATGATCCCTTTGAACAAATCAGATGACTAAAAAAAAAAATACAGCAGAGGATTTTTTTTTTTTTTTTTAAAGAGTTAGCCCTGATAAATCTTGGATGGGGCTCTAACCTCAACAATCGCAGCAACAGTCACCCAGAAGAACATCACCTCTCCTGTTTTCACCTGCTCAAGTCCCGCGGCTGTTTTAGGTTCAGAAATTATTCATGCATTCACAGCCTCGATAACACATCCAGTGCAAACCTGTGTGCCATCATAGTTTCCTGAAAAACACATCTACAGCATTCTGTGGAGCTGGGATGAGAAGATAAGCTAAAGGGCAGAAATAAATATGAATAGCCACACTATTTCCAATTCGGGAAAAAGAAATGGCAAAGAAATGACAATACAAGACCTCGTGCCTATAAGAGGCCTGTATATTTTGCATTATGGTCTATATAACCAAAATGTAATTGCTCTATTTTAAGGCCATGAGATATAAAGGAGTTCTTAATTATGTTATACATTTTGTCTCATGCACTGTAAAAAAAATTCCGTAAAATTTACGGTAAAAAACCGGCAACTGTGGTTGCTGGAATATTACCATAAAAAATACAGTAGCACCATTTTAGGTTTTACGGTTTTAACTTAAATTTACAATTAAATACCATAATTTCATTAACTGAAATAATATTAATATACTAACCTATTGAAGCACTGAAATCTGTTTTGTACCTTTGTAATACACTGATAACCACCAAAAGCAGGTGGTGTTAAGAAAGTCACATGATGAACCAAAGCCCATCACAAGCACCGGGGTCGTCAGATGTGGTTGCCGCAAGCCCTCCGGACGCTCCTTCATCGAATCCGCCGGCCGCGCCGTTCTCAACCCCACCGCCTCTGCTCACTCAGCCCGCCGGCCGTTCCTCACTTTAGCCCCCAGCCTCTGCTCACTGTAGGCCACCATGTGTGACGCTGTTTCGTTGTGAATGCGAAACTACTTTGTTTGGCCTTCCAAAAATGGACACGACTAGAAATCAGTGGTTAAGTTGTATTTACAATACCATCATGGTAACACACATGAAACTGAAATAATGCAATAAACATTCATTTAACAACATTAGGTGTAACATACAAGAAAAAACTAAGAAGAGACAAGTTATTTCAACAAAAAATTGAAAATGTAACGCAGGGAATTCTGGGAATGTAAATTTACGGTTATTGTATATTATACGGTCTTTTTCACTTCCATAAACAGTATTCTACCATAAAATTACATGTAATGTCCAATAGTTTTCACCCTATATAGTAGGAGAATTTAGCATTTTTACAGTCTTTTACCGTTAAATTCACTGTCCTTTTTTACAGTGTGTGTTTATCCTACAATTTTCAAAGAAAAAAAATAGATACGCGTCAGACAAGTTAGTCTTTTAAAATGCTCATAATCAGATTACTGTTATTTTTATGGCTTATATGATTACATATTATTCACACAATGTCAGTAAATTTTTTATAATTGATCGATTCACTCCAGTTCTGAATTTTGCTTTCTAAATGAACCTTCCTCTTATATAAATGACACTAATAATTATGCAAGTTACTAAACACTGCCGATGCATAGCTGAAATACTACATCTTCATCATATCCAGTTTACCTTCACTAATTATTAATATGCAAAGTCTGGACAAAGACATTTCAATCCTGGAACACTTTGGCATTTTCGTGTTTATTAATGTTTGTTCATGTAATGTAGGGTTTCCCAAGCTTTTGACATTTTTATGACATTCATTTTTTACATTATTTCATTAATTATTAGCTTTTCATAAACACCCTACAGCTGGTTCATGAACCCAAATTTGGGAAACCCTGCTTGTTTTTTGTTTCCCCCCATCAATATGGTACACAATAATCCCATTCAAGACTACCTGATAAACAAGTTAGGTCAAAAGTAATCTAAAAGTAATCAGAAAGTAGTCAGACTACATTACTTAATATGTGTAATCCAGATTACTAACTACAGTTTTCATCATGTAATCTGTAATCTGTAACAGACTACAATTTGTAAGTAATCTACCCAGCACTGTGTACTGTACTGTATAAAATATATTGTATGTCTTTAGGTTATTTTTACATTAATCTTGCATTAAGACATAAAAAAAAGTGATTTATAGGAAATTATATTATTATACAGAAATATTACAAGGTAACTAGATTTTACTGCCGAATCAACACCATTTTGAGCGTTTCCGCATGACAGTGATCAGAAGGTACAAGATAATTTTCTCAGAAAAAATAGTTAATTTGTTAATTTGAGCTCTACTAGGACGTGAGCACACATTTTATCTCATTGCTCTCTGTGGTTCTCCCTCTTTATAACTAATTACATTCTAATAAAACCGAAAGAAAGAACACAATGTAATAATAAATATTAAAAACTCCCTCCTTGATGTAGAGTAGTAGTTTTTCTGTCTGTCAGCAGTTATCAGACCACAGACCTAGGCTTTTCCAAGGTGTCTTTGCTGAGGTAGATGTACCAGTAGATGAGGTTGAAGATCCCAAAGGCCAGAGGGAAGAGGACGCGGGAGTATTTGTCTATGGCACTGGTGCCTGCCAGCATCATGTTGGGTGGGACAGCCGAGCCCTGAAGGAAGATGGGAATGTGAGTCCTAGGCGCCTCGGACACAGAGTTCGCTCGTCTTCTGAGGCTAAAGCCACTGGTATCAGACTGAGGCTGCGACAAAACAAACAGTGAATGACATGAATCAGTCCCACCTGATATAAGAGAAATGTGACCCTGGACCACAAAACCAGTCATATGGGTAAATTTTTCGCTGAATAAATAAGCTTTCCATTGATGTATGGTTTGTTAGGATAGGACAATATTTGGCCGAGATACGACTATTTGAAAATCTGGAATCTGAGGGTGCAAAAATTAAATCAAAATATCGAGATAATCGCCTTTAAAGTTGTCCAAATGAAGTTCTTAGCAATTCATATTACTAATCAAAAATTAAGTTTTGATATATTTACAGTAGGAAATTTACAAAATATCTTCATGGAACATGATCTTTACTTAATATCCTAATGATTTTTGGCATAAAATTAAAATCTATGATTTTGACCCATACAATGTGTTTTTGGCTATTGCTACAAATATACCCCAGCGACTTAAGAATGCTTTTGTGCTCCAGGGCCACATATATTGTGAAAACGGTTGTGCTGCCGAATATTTTTGTGGAAACTGATACGTTTTATTTATTAACGCACACAACTTTAAAGCTCGGATGCTCACTCTGACCCAGCACGTGTGGTGTATAAAACGCAGCGTCTTAAAGGGAAGGTGTATAGGTATCAGTAAGATGAAAGATATGCGCCCTCTAGTGGTAAAATACTAAAGTGAAACTAAAGGAAAAGACTTTCCTACAGTATGATTTGTTAGGATAGGACAATATTTGGCCGAGATACGACTATTTGAAAATCTGGAATCTGAGGGTGCAAAAATTAAATCAAAATATCGAGATAATCGCCTTTAAAGTTGTCCAAATGAAGTTCTTAGCAATTCATATTACTAATCAAAAATTAAGTTTTGATATATTTACAGTAGGAAATTTACAAAATATCTTCATGGAACATGATCTTTACTTAATATCCTAATGATTTTTGGCATAAAATTAAAATCTATGATTTTGACCCATACAATGTGTTTTTGGCTATTGGGCTTATATGATTACATATTATTCACACAATGTCAGTAAATTTTTTATAATTGATCGATTCACTCCAGTTCTGAATTTTGCTTTCTAAATGAACCTTCCTCTTATATAAATGACACTAATAATTATGCAAGTTACTAAACACTGCCGATGCATAGCTGAAATACTACATCTTCATCATATCCAGTTTACCTTCACTAATTATTAATATGCAAAGTCTGGACAAAGACATTTCAATCCTGGAACACTTTGGCATTTTCGTGTTTATTAATGTTTGTTCATGTAATGTAGGGTTTCCCAAGCTTTTGACATTTTTATGACATTCATTTTTTACATTATTTCATTAATTATTAGCTTTTCATAAACACCCTACAGCTGGTTCATGAACCCAAATTTGGGAAACCCTGCTTGTTTTTTGTTTCCCCCCATCAATATGGTACACAATAATCCCATTCAAGACTACCTGATAAACAAGTTAGGTCAAAAGTAATCTAAAAGTAATCAGAAAGTAGTCAGACTACATTACTTAATATGTGTAATCCAGATTACTAACTACAGTTTTCATCATGTAATCTGTAATCTGTAACAGACTACAATTTGTAAGTAATCTACCCAGCACTGTGTACTGTACTGTATAAAATATATTGTATGTCTTTAGGTTATTTTTACATTAATCTTGCATTAAGACATAAAAAAAAGTGATTTATAGGAAATTATATTATTATACAGAAATATTACAAGGTAACTAGATTTTACTGCCGAATCAACACCATTTTGAGCGTTTCCGCATGACAGTGATCAGAAGGTACAAGATAATTTTCTCAGAAAAAATAGTTAATTTGTTAATTTGAGCTCTACTAGGACGTGAGCACACATTTTATCTCATTGCTCTCTGTGGTTCTCCCTCTTTATAACTAATTACATTCTAATAAAACCGAAAGAAAGAACACAATGTAATAATAAATATTAAAAACTCCCTCCTTGATGTAGAGTAGTAGTTTTTCTGTCTGTCAGCAGTTATCAGACCACAGACCTAGGCTTTTCCAAGGTGTCTTTGCTGAGGTAGATGTACCAGTAGATGAGGTTGAAGATCCCAAAGGCCAGAGGGAAGAGGACGCGGGAGTATTTGTCTATGGCACTGGTGCCTGCCAGCATCATGTTGGGTGGGACAGCCGAGCCCTGAAGGAAGATGGGAATGTGAGTCCTAGGCGCCTCGGACACAGAGTTCGCTCGTCTTCTGAGGCTAAAGCCACTGGTATCAGACTGAGGCTGCGACAAAACAAACAGTGAATGACATGAATCAGTCCCACCTGATATAAGAGAAATGTGACCCTGGACCACAAAACCAGTCATATGGGTAAATTTTTCGCTGAATAAATAAGCTTTCCATTGATGTATGGTTTGTTAGGATAGGACAATATTTGGCCGAGATACGACTATTTGAAAATCTGGAATCTGAGGGTGCAAAAATTAAATCAAAATATCGAGATAATCGCCTTTAAAGTTGTCCAAATGAAGTTCTTAGCAATTCATATTACTAATCAAAAATTAAGTTTTGATATATTTACAGTAGGAAATTTACAAAATATCTTCATGGAACATGATCTTTACTTAATATCCTAATGATTTTTGGCATAAAATTAAAATCTATGATTTTGACCCATACAATGTGTTTTTGGCTATTGCTACAAATATACCCCAGCGACTTAAGAATGCTTTTGTGCTCCAGGGACACAAATATAACAGAGACAGAACCTGCATCCTTTACGGTACTGATTAAAACATCCTGAACAGCTGTCAACTGTCAAAACAGTAGTCAAGTAGTATGTATTCACATAATACAGTTTAAAGTCATAGTTCACCGAAAATGGAAAATTCTGTCATCATTTACTCACTCTCCTCTTGTTCCAAACCTGTAAGAGTATTTTCTTCTGCTGAACACAAAATAAGATATTTTGAAGAATGTTGGTAGCCAAACAGTTGACGGTAGCCATTGACTTCCATTGTACTTTTTCCATACTATGGAAGTGAATGGCTGCTGTCAATTATTTGGTGACCAACATTCTTCAAAACGTCATCTTTTGTGTTCAAGAGCTGATAGAAATTTATACAGGTTTGAGAGTGAGTAAATGATGACAGAATTTTCATTTTTGAGTGAACTTTCCCTTTAATGATGCTGATCGTGTCAAAAGAGCCCACCAACAAGCAAGCTCTGGTCCCTCCTTCAATGTAAGTCTATGGAATTTTTACACAGGCTTTATCATCCACCAGGTGAAAAATTGGCAGTGTGATAGAAAACTAAATTGCACACCTCTCAGGATTCAAGGGCATCATTCAAGTGTATACCGAACAAAGGGTGTGACAAATTACGCTCCTCAAGTACAGTGCTGTGAAAATGTATTTGCCCCCATCCTGATTTCTTCTGTTTTTGTTTCAAACTGAATAATAAACACATACAATTCTATTTATTTATTTATTTTTATTGAAGCAAAAAAGAGGCTATTCAAAAATGATCATCAATTTGAAACTGATTAGATAACATTTTGCTACAATAAATAATGTTTATCATTTAAAAACTATTTTGTGTTTACTCAGGTTGCCTTTGTTTTATTTTAGATTTTGTTTTAATTTTTCTCAAAGACTTTAGTATGAGATATACACAAAAACATAAGAAATTAGTATGGGGCAAATACTTTTTCACAACACTGTATAACACTTACGGATAGGAAAAAACACACTTCAGCTTTAAATAAAAAAAATAGACAGTTATTGAAGATCATAATTACTCAAAATTTACTCTGACATAAAGGTGCCATCACATTTACCATTTTTCGGTGAATTTTCACAGGAGAAATCCAGACATTTCAATTGGAATCCACACAATTGAGAATTTCGTTGCGACGAAAGATTTCCGCACACATTCCATTTGCAACGGGTTCAAGTTTGTCACACAAATTCAGCATGTTGACCAAAAGAAAGCTGTTTGGTTTGACTTATGAGTGCTTTATACATCTCTACTAGGGGTTGACCGATATGTGTTTTTAGGGCCGATGCCGATACCGATTATTAGAGATCAAGTAGACCGATAACCGATATATATGTCTGGTGTAAAAATGAAAATGAATGTCAAAATTAAGAATAACAAGGGCTCTGACAAAAAAAATCTTTAAATGCTTTTAAATTATTTTATCGGCAAATCGGTACAGATTACCGATAACCATAAAAATGCTTAATATCGGCGCCGATAATCGGTCTACACGTCATAACGGACAATGGCGTTTTCTGACCGTTCAAATATTCGCCAAAATTTGGTTCATTCTGCATGTGGAAATCTTTGGCCCTAACAAAATTCTAGATTGCATGGATTCCTATTAAAATGACTGGATTTCACCAGCCGAACAGTGGCGAAACCAAATCATTTTAAAATAGCCAAATATTTCTAAAACATTTTATTGCACTTTATAAAAATAAGAGGTTAAACTACACCCCTCATGCTGGCACTTAATGTCCCCGTATATTTCCTTCCCATCCAGACTCTAAGCCAGAGAGAGAACTGGAGCAAGTGGATCCGTAGCACAGGTGAGAGATTATAAGGGTCATGGCTCGCAGTTTTAATACGGGCAGCTATTTTTAAAACACCAACCATGAGCTCCCCACGTGAGAGCGGTCCCAGGAGACGCCACACATCTGTCGAATTACCATATCCAACTCAGCACAACAGATAAGAACTACAATTCACACGTGGCAGCAAGAGAGCAGGTGAATGACTCCTCACCGAACACCTGAACAATTTGCTTCTGAACACAGCCGTGGACACATTAAAGGTTGAGCCATGTGCTACGATTAGTTACGCGTGCTAAATATGTCTTTAGAGGAATTTAGCCGTCCCTGTGGGAGGTGCATATATGCAGCTGCAGCGACACTCATTTAGCATCACAATAACTGTGACACAGCTCATTGGTTTGTGAAGAGCAGCACTCGTGTTGTGCATATCGTATAACCAGGAGCTCCGTCAGCTGTGCTTTTTGACCGCAGCACGGTGTTAATTGAGCGAGGCTCACAGGAGATAGTTACCGTCTCCGACTCGTCGTCGCTGCCCTGGGCTATGGACTCCAGAACGGAGGCCCTGGAGAGCCGGCGTTTTTCCCTGTTGGCCTCGAGCGTGGCAAAGTAGTTAACTGCGGCAAACTCGACGAGGGCCGAAGCCACGAAGGCAAAGCAGACGGCGATGAACCAGTCCATGGCGGTGGCGTAGGAGACTTTGGGTAGCGAGGAGCGGGCGCTGATGCTCAGAGTGGTCATGGTGAGCACAGTGGTGATTCCTGAAGGTCACAGGAGATTATGTGAACTCGCAAGTACAGATTTACATGGGAAATGATCCCAGAAACACTGAGAACATGAAAAAAACCTAAACAGTGAATAGTTAAAGGGATAGTTCACCTAAAAATTTACATTTTGCTATCAGTTACTCACCATCATGTTGGTAACCAAACAGCTGCTGGTCCCCACTGACTTCAATAGTATTTTTTACTATGGAAGTCAATGGCTACCAGCAACTGTCTGGTTACTAACATTCTTCAAAATATCTTCTTTTGTGTTCAGCAGGAGGAGGAAACTCAGACAGGTTTAGAACAACTTGAGGGTGAGCAAATCATGACAAAACTTTCATTTTAGGGTGTACTGTCCCTTTAAGACCACTAGTATACTATATTTTTAAATAGCACGTGAAACAATATAAATTATGCTGTTAGCTACATTGTGGTTGTGCTCATCTTGCATTGTTTAATTCAGCAAATGCATTCAGTTATCATCTTTAAAATTAGTTTTAATATAGTTTTACGTAGAAACTATTGGCAGGTTGATTTAATAATCAAGAAAAAATAATTACAAACCATACTTTGGTTTGTAAATCTCACCATACTCTGCACACTACACATTTTGGTAAATGTAGTTGGTATGTTATTTGTATACAGAACAAAAAATATTTCTGTTGAGTATCAGTGTGGTTATTGTTAAGTAAAACTAAAATGCAAAATATTAAAAACTGTGTTCGTTAATTTAAATAAAGCTGAAATAAAATATAAATAGTACATGAAAAACTTTACATTGAAAATGCTGCTTTAACTGAAATAAAATAAGTTGCAGATGAAGTACTAAAATTACTAAAATGAAAAATGAATTAAATATATAGAAAAGCAAAGTAGAAATATATATATATATATATATATAAAATAATAAAAATTCTTAACACTGTTATTTTGCTATTTTTTTGTAAAATGCTACATTTTGCAGTACAATCAAATAACGAGACAAGAAACCAATTAGGAATTCAGGCTGACATTAAAAATTGAGGCTGATATTACTTTTTAGTTCATTTATACTGGAAATGGAAGGTAAAATCAAGCGCATTGCATTGTGGGATGCTTTGTGCAGTGTCTATGTTCTTTTCAGTTACTCCATACATACAGAAAAACTGCATACTGTGTAAAGTATGCATACTATATATTACAACAGTAAGAGTAGTATGCTACTCCATAGAATAAATATGGACCACAGCGTGTCATGAGTGATGACTCTGCTCTTTACTGAGATGGCGGGTAAGCAGCTATTGAGAAATATTATGATTCTTATTTATTTATTTTTTTACAATAGGTGCAGTTAAATGTTACAACTGCACTTCAAATTTCACAATGAAACCCCAAAACATAACATACACTACCGTTCAAAAGTATGGGGTCATGGTTTTTTTTTTAATAAATACTTTCATTGAGCAAGGATGCATTAAACTGACTGTAAGTGACAGTAAAGACACTTAAATCAGCATATTAGAATGATTTCTGAAGATCATGTGACACTGAAGACTGGAGTAATGATGCTGAAAATTCAGCTGCGCATCACAGAAATAAATTACATTTTAAAATATATTACAATAGAAAACAGTAATTTTAAATTGTAATAATATTTTACAATTTTACTGTTTTTACCGTATTTTGATTGAATAAATGCAGCCTTGGTGAGCATAACAGACTTCTTTCAGAAATAGTGTAGATGTTCAATGTAATTTTTATACTCAAAGAAATATGACACTCATACCAGCCACTGTTCGAGCCGGGACAGACTCCTTGTTGATCCAGAATGCGACTTGTGACAGCACAACCACCATAATCAATGGGATGTACGTTTGGATGAGATGGTAGCCAAGCTTCCTCTGAAGATAGAAATGGACAACCTGGACAGAATACAGACCTAGACGGTGCCAAGACATTAGAGGAGGACACTGATGAAGACAAATCGTGTAAATTCGGCAGTCTGTATGATGCTCTGATCAAGCCCATTTGGCCAAACACGACTCCGAAACATTTAGAGGGAATTTTGGCTCTCGGCTCTTAATTCCTGTCCTTAATTACAAGAAAAGGCAAAGTCATACAGGCACAGAACTTTCTTTCGGATGTGAGCCTGATCCATTTCTCATAGATCTGATGGGTACCCCGTTTTTGCTTGCCTATAAATTCCTCATTACTGAGCCCCCGGTCAACCATGATCAGAGGCTGAAACGGGTTTATTGTAACGCAGCTATTTTTAAAGACAGACAGCATGAATTAGGCCTGATCAGTTAAGCATCTTAGATTGCCTCTCAGAGGGGAAGCTGGCCGGGAATCTTGTAGCTCTTAACACACACAATAAAATAAGTCATTTACCCTAGTAATAAGGGTGTGCGATATTGATTTGGTGATTAAACCATATTTTGCGTAGTCTTTTTATGCTGGTACCTTGGCTGGTTATAAATAAATATGACACTAAAACCACCAGTAGGTGGCAGCAAGTCCCTGTCTTAATGAGTGATTAATTTCAATCATTCATTCAAATGATTCGTTCAAAACGGATGATTCATTTAGATATGAAGCAAATGGCTGTCTTTACAAATGGATCATTGAATCATTGACTCAAATGATTCGTTCAAAAACAGATTCATTCAGGATCAAGGCACAGCAGTGTTGCTCTGAGACGCACAGATGTTCTGCTCTGGCTTTGTTTCGAACTATTTTCATTGGTGAAACAGAAAAAAAATAATACTCCTGATAGCACATGCACATCTTAAAGATAACTGACATCTACTGTATATACAGGGATATTTTGTGCTTTCATAACTTGAATTATAGGGTCATTTAACTGCATTCTAATAGGCTTCATCACACAGTCGATGCTTTTGGACTCTCAAGACGTGTTTTTGTTTGTTTTTTGCAAAGTGAGTGACACACTCCATAATGTCAGCTCACATATCATAAAAAAAAACAATTATCATAGTATCGTAGCCAATAAATATGGCACACCCCTACACAGTAACTGTACAAGACATCTGACATGCTACATCTGTAATATTTAGGGGAAACTGAGCATTAAATAAAAACATACCTGTGCTGAATTTATATGTTTCACTGAACAAGGTCTGGCCCACAAGATCATACTGAAGTAAGCTTGATGATTCTGGAGGAAAATCTACTGATGCTTGAAGACCCTTCCTCCACGTGTAGACGATTTCACGATTAGTGTAAGCATCTGAAGGTACAGTGTAAGAGAGAGCAGCTGAGAAATGGTGCACAGATGGATAGACGGACGGACAGACACGATAGACAGATCTTACAGCTTCCAAACAGGAGAGGACATGTGTGTCCATCCATAGGAAAGTCCATCAACACCATTGGACATACTGCACTTACAGTCAGCCTAAAATATCCAGAAAACAGGCATTTATTTGGTGACCCAAATTATTTGCTATTATAATATCCTAATAAAAACATTCACTTATACTGAAACAGATTTCCGAGGGTTTCCTATCAAGGGTTTTTCAAAGCTCAGCCCTCATCTGATTGTTTTACCTCATAGTGTAAAAGACCGTTCCGTTTTGCATGATTCGAAACAGCTTGTTAGGAGACGTCATGTTGTGTGCGAGTGACGTCCTTGCATTGCGAAAAAACGTGTCTGGCGTCCAGATCTTGTCCACCATGCGATTGTTCAAAGGCAAGATTTCGACGGGCCCCTGAAAGGCTAACCTCTCGTCAACCCACATTTGGCGGAAAAACATATCCATGGTGAACTCCTTAGAGACAGAACAATTTCTTTCTGTGAAACATGTTCTTTTTTTATGGTTACAACCGATATGAATTCATAATTTAAGTTATTTTTTAAGCATAGTGTGGGTGAGGCTTGACATACTGATATTAGTTTGAACAGACATAAATAAAACATCAGCTTGTTATCTACTTAGAAAGTACTTTAGCCACAAGACATGAAGCACTATAGCTAAATCGAAATAAAGATGTAACATTTGGGTGCTGTATTTTCTTACCATCTTAACATCAGACACTGGTCCAAAACTTGTGACGAATATGTCTGTTTTGACCTCAGTTACAGAGACTGCAAAGATAATCACAGATTACATTTACATGTAGAGATGTGAGTCCATTACACTGTTACAGCAAAATTAAGTGAAACACATAACATTTAGACCAAAAATCATTAGATGACATTAAAAGACTCTATTTAAGGACCACAGTGCAGCACTAAAATACTAATTAATTGTGATTTTAAATCGTTCCCAATCTTTGCCACAATCCTTCAAACCACCAGGTTTAGTATGTAAAGAGTTTAGTATGATCTCTTATTCTTTTATATATTTTAATAAGTGCAGATCGTAGTAAGTATGTTGTTTCATTTTTGCTTAAATATATGTTTCGCTGAATGATGATGGAACATTATTTCACCCATATTTTATTTTCACAAACATTATTTGAAACATTAGAGACTTTACTTGCATTTAAAATGCTTTCCGTGTATAATAAAATCACTTTTGTAAATTTAATTTGATGTGAACACAAAATGGGATCTCGCCTTTGAACCACATAATGTCAAAACTTTGACAAATTATTCAAATTTCTAATAATTTCGAATTCAAATGATTTAATTTCTATACTGGGAGGCCTGTGCTTACCTCCAGATCCCGGGCGCAGTCGATTGTCATAACCCTCAAGAAGTCGGTCTAGAATCCGTGTTATATTTTCTGAATTTATCCTTTGCTTTCCTAATACATCTGCAACACTACACAGAGAGAAATTACCATCTTGATTAGTCCTTTCAGTGAATTTAGACCTACGTCAGGTAAAATTAGCATTAAAGTTAACTCATTTAAAGTAAGTATACCTAGTCCATTAACTCACCTTGTGAGACATAACAAGGCCAAAAGAAGAGCCATTTGTGTTGCAAAAAAGTAAATAAATAAATACAAAATAAAATAAATTAAGCCATCAATGGTTAGAGGTCATAATGTGATGTACTGAACTGAAGCACTGTCTTATGACTGTCAGTAAATGAAGGGCTGAATGTGACTTGAAATGCTTTCAGGATAATCAAATTAAAGGATTAGGAAAATCCACTTGCTTTTTTAGCAACAGGTTAAAGAGTATATCAAGCAAACTAGACATCAACTACCCTGATTGCACACATTCATCACGGAGACGTCTATTTGGCGTCTGCAAGACGTATATTTTAGAGTGTTTGCTCATCTGCAGTACGTCTAAAGGACGTTTCCTATCAGATGTCAAATAGACGTTTAGAAGATGTCTTTAAGATGTTTATGATTTAGATCGAATGTAAAACTGGCATCTTAAAGACGTCTATCAGATGTTTGTACACAGCAGATGAAGTGATCTTTAACAGACATCTTGCAGATGTACCTGTGCAATCTGCTGAAAATAACAGCTAAAACCAGCCTAAGCTGGTTGGCTGGTTTTAGCTGGTTTAAACTTGAAGTAGCTGGTTTTAGGGAAAGTACAGGACCGATGTTTATTGAAACTGAAAAACTCTTGCAAGAAGGTCTAGTTTGCTTAGCCTAAGCTGGTTGGCTGGTTTTAGCTGGTTTAAGCTGGAAGTAACTGGTTTTAGCTGGTCTCCCAGCCTGACCAGCTAAAGAAGTGGCCAAAACCCCTCTAAAACCAGCCTGCTGACCAGCTACGACCAGGCTGGAAGACCAACTAAAACCAGCCAACCAGCTTAGGCTAAGCAAACTAGACCTTCTTGCAAGTTTTTCAGCTTCAATAAACATCGGTCCTGTACTTGCCTTGTCTGACTTTCCCTAAAACCAGCTACTTCAAATTTAAACCAGCTAAGACCAGCTTCAGGGCTGCCAACTATTAAGTTCAACTTGGAGTGAGAATACCCAAAACCTATATTATGTGTATATTATAATAAATATATTATGTGGTTTCTGACATGCCTAGTAGTTAACGTCATGATAGTACTGCATTTCTATCATAAAAGTATATAAAATAACTGCTGCAGAGCTACAAAACTATTAACTTTTTACCACAATAAGAATAGCAATGTACAGTGAGAGAATTGCGAGATTTAGCTACTGGTCATTGAATGATTGCAACCACAACCCTGTTGAAAAAAACAGCATATGCTGGTTAGGTATGTTTTGACGCTGGGATGCTGGTTTAAGCTGGTCCTTTGCTGGTTTAAACTGGTCCTTTGCTGGTTTATGCTGGTCCTTTGCTGGTTTAAACATGTCCTTTGCTGGTTTATGCTGGCACATGACCAGCATAAACCAGCAAAAGGACCAGCATAAACCAGCAAAGGACCAGCTTAAACCAGCAAAGGACCAGCAAGCTTAAACCAGCATCCCAGCGTCAAAACATACCTAACCAGCATATGCTGGTTTTTTCAACAGGGATTACGTAAATTTATAGAATATAGAATAAATATTTAGGCTGGTTTTAGCTGTTTTTTGTTTTCCAATTTTTGACTCAAATATTACATATAAAGAGAGCTAATAAGTTAGTTAAGTATTGCATTACACTGATAAATACATTATTGTTATATTTTGCAGCCTTGCTGCTAGCCTGTTTGTTTACGATGTAATCGATCATTTCTCTTAGCTTTAAGAGTAAAATAAGTATCAGTTTAACTCAGTCGATGTATTTTACTCAACATAAACAATATTATACGACATTGGGACGCTGGCTGTACATTATTCCTTATATATTTGACAAAACGTTACAAATTAGCTTTTGTTTACGCGCTCTCCGATACACTAGATGGCGCGCTCGATCCGTCAACAGCACCGCATTCGCCGCAGAAGAAGACATACTGCATGAGCAATACATCTGGAGTGAGTGTAATACTAGCTGTTATGTGAGTTTGTAGCGTGTCGGGCAGCCGTTTTCATGAGAGGCCACTGAGGAGAGCAGTATGTCGGGGCATTTTGAGGAGAGGAGCGGCGTGATCCCGTGTCAAACAGCATGGGGCTCGTGGTACCAGACTATAGAAGAGGTTTTCATCGAAGTCAGTGTTGCTCCCGGAACTTCCGCCAAAGAGATCAAGTGCAGCATCCGGAGCAAACACATCGAGCTGCGCGTGAAAGACCAGCAGATCTTCAAGGTATGGATGAGCGTCAGTTATTATAAGATCCAGACAGGATTATTTTGAGAGATTAGAGACGTCTTTTTAATTTTTGAGCAGACATCTCATCTTCTACTAACCATATATTAATGCACATAATTTTTCAACTGTTATAATATTTTTTTTTTATTAATTTATTACACATTTTATGTAAACATGGGCAAAAAAAACTTTTCAGTAACGTTACTTATCAAATGTTTGAAAGCATTCAAATTTTAAAAAGTCTATTATTATCATTTACAAATCTTTCAACTTTATTAATAATAATAAATGTGTTTTGAGCAGCAGATCAGCATATTAGAATATCATGTGACACTGAAGACTGGAGTAATGATGCTGAAAATACAGCTGCGCATCACAGAAATACATTACATTTTAAAATAGATTCACATAGAAAACAGTCATTTTAAATTGTAATAATATTTTAAAAATTTTCTCTCTCTCTCTCTCTCTCTATATAAATAAATAAATAAATAAATAAATGCAGCCTTGGTGAGCAGAAGAGACTTAATAAAAAAAACAAACATTTAAAAAAAATAAATATAATGTTTCCAAACTGTTGACAAGTGTACTGTAAGTGTCTTTTTTATATTATAAATATTTTATGTGATATATGAGATTTGGGGGCAACACATATTATTAAATATTAATATTGTAATAACGAGTTTAATAGGAATATTAAACAGGGGGAAAGTGTCACTTTACAGAGGACATGAAATGGAAACCCTGTATAGTGTGTCTATATAGTTTTTATTAATTTTAATTTCTGTTTTAGTTTGTTATTTTATGGAAGAAAACATCTGTCACTATTTACGTTCAATTGCAATTTTTTTTTTTTTTAAATCTGCATTTTTTTTTTAAACTTAAATATAAATAATTACAAAAGAAGGTTAATTGTCTACATGCATGAATGTGCTGAATATTGGTGTTTTAACAACCGAGCAGAGGAGGTTGTGATAGTTTCTCAGAGGAATTCACATCAAAAATAGAAAATGAAATTGCTCCGTCCCAGTCGGACTAAAAACCCCAGTTACTCTGAAGGACCTCAAGTTATTAGGTGACTTTTTGTCATATCAACACAATACATGATCACATTTTTCGGCCTGGATGAGTGGCGTTCGTGTGGCACAGGCGTGTGAAACGTCCCACTGAGGTACATGCTGCTAATGGAAACTCTCAGCTACTTCTAATTTATAAACTCAGTTTTCTGTCGTCTCACAGGGGAAGCTGTTTGGACCCACAGTCGGCGATGAAGCGACGTGGACGTTAGGTGACGCTGAAAGCCACTGAACAAATTCATGTCAGAGTAAATAGTGCATGCATGCAAAAGCTTATGTGTCTGTCGTGCCGTTCAGAGGACAGAAAGTTGATCCGGATCGTCCTGATGAAGTCGAACCGGGAGGCTGGGAACTGCTGGCGGTCTCTGCTGGAGGGCGAGTACGCGGCGGATCCGTGGGTTCAGGATCAGATGCAGAGGAAGCTGACGCTCGAGAGGTTTCAGAGAGATAAGCAGAACGGCATAATAAAAGAAAAGAAAAACAAAAACATCTCGTTTCATCGCCTTGGGTAGGAGTGTGCATTACGACAGCTGACAGCCTAGGGTGGGAGTGAAGGGTTTTGTGCCTGATCTCTTGGTTCTGTTGTTGTCTTGAATCTCAAAACCCTTCTCCCTCCTCTTCCACACGGTGGACTGAGGACCTAGGCGGTTCTATACTTCATTGCTTCAAACAACCGGCGCGTCTCGCGCCGATTCAGATGAACATACTGTACACGTGCAAGCCTTACTTGCTCAAACTCACCCTTGACTAGCAATCAAGACCGAGTCAGTGCGGATGTGAAAGAAATACAATCATGGCAAAAGAGAACAAAGACTGAGGAAAGGGAAAGCAAATTTAGCAGATATGTAAAGAAATTAGTGTCGGGCGCTTAACAAGCGTATTCAGGGATCGTGGGTAGATGGGCGATCTTGTAGTAGCTGTGCTTCAGCTGTCTGGCGGTTCGACCTGAAATCATCCATCGCAGTCTCTGGCCGTTTGGCTTCAGGCACTTGGTGGAGGCGTATTCAGCCAGGCATTTAGTCACCAGCTCCCTCACGCAACCCAGGTCTCCAGCTTTAACCTGAAGCGCAGAATAAACCACAAGACACCATAAAAAAAAAATAAATAAAAAAAAAAAGTAGTTTTAAAGTCGGCATTAAGTGAACATTCACCCTATTTTGTAAATGCATGTTATTGATCTTATTCAGTGGATCATTTGTAATATTTAATCAAAATGTCATGAATCGGAACGACAGATTGCTCTCTGCTGATGAAATCGGTTTTATTTTTTTCCCCCAAAATTCCGTTTTTTTTATTATTTTTTTTTATTTGAGGATTCCGTTTGGTAATTTAAATTTTTCTGGACTACATTTTAATGGTTAAATTAAATTTTAGTAATCAAAAAGCACGTCTAATTAATTGAAATCATGACACTTTCACAATTTAATATTCAAAAAAGTTTAACAAAACACTTTTTTCTGGTGATCAAATGAAGGCATAAAACGAATTTAATTTACACTCAAATGAAATTAAATTTATTTTGGCAAAAAAAAAAAAAAGTGATGCACAAAATAGGTTTATGGTTAAAACTAAAACATGGAAGAAACATTGATTATTCATTAAAAATAATGTTAATAATTATTATCATTGAGACACACATTCTATTGTGCAACAGAAACGTATTTCTGTCTGAAACAAGACATACAACAATGTGATGATATATGTTACAAAAAAGTAAAAATTTTGAAATACGTTGATGGTGTATTTTTTTGTATTTGATCTCAGTATTCCTATCAATGTTGTATAAGGGTTTTTTTATGCATAATAGTAACTAGAATGTGATCAAACAGTTTAAAATAGCTGGGCTAAGATATATAAAAAAAATTGAAAACTGCAGAAATATGTTAATTCAGTATACACATTATCCCACCGGTTAGAATTGTGACTGACCATAAAATACAATTTCTCTCACACTTTTCCCAAAAAAAAAAAAATTATTGATTATTTCAAAGGGTTACTAATGACACATCATTTGGATATTTTCACATTTGGGAAAAATTTGGGATTAAAACGGGTTAAAATGCGTTTTAAACAAAGTTAAGTGGTTTTCATTACCCATTTTACTCTTAGTAATTTAATAAAATTTCATAATTTAAAAATTTAGTGCAGAAGTATCGAATCGGTATCGATATCGACGATACTGCCTTGAAAAAAATATCGGTATCGTATCGAAAACAAAATAAGGGTTATCGCCCATCCCTAAATAGACAACAATATACCGTGAAATGCAAACTCTGCGCTACCAGTACGATAAAGTAACGACGATTAAAGTAACGGAGTTAATGTAATCATAATACACGTCTGACTGTAACTTCCAAAAATACCTAATTTCGGACTTTCAACATAAAAGCTCGTAAAAGGTTTAAACTATATGTAAAGATAGCCTATGTTATCACGGTAACCATGTAACGTTAAAACAAGTGTCCATATTGTAACGTTACAACCCTGAGATCTGAATACATGTCTGGGCATGTCCACTAACCAGATTTCAGCCCCGTTAAAACCATCAACCATTTGGTTTTGTGTCAGTCTTCTCTAAATAACAACTTTAACTCCATATAGTCACACTTTTACACTTTAACCCTAATTTCCAAGCCATTTATTTCACGTTTAGCGTTCGAACGTATCGAGTCTTGTGTTGTTTCGCGGCGGAGGAGAACATTTCAACCATTTTTCCTCTACGATCGGATTAAAAGAAACCTCTAGAGCCTGGAAAACCACACCGTAACGTGGTTTTTACATTAACAAAAAAACTGAAATAACAACAATACGTCAAAGAACTGCTCACCTTTCGTAGATTTCACGGTCTTATTAAAAACTAAAAAGACGAATCTGTGAGTTCATGAAATAAAATGCAAAATAAAGTGATTAAAAAAAAAGTTCCAAGTATGTAAGTTTAAAGCAATATAACTTCTGCGCCCTGCACACCCCAAACCCTCGGCGTCAGGCAATGACAGCAGGCTGCTTGCATGCCTTATAGTCGGAGAAAGTTCATATCCAAACATAGAAGCACCTTATTGGGCAGTGCTCACACAGAGCTCCGTCTTTCTGAATGCCTATTGGTTCGGGTTTGTCTGTAGGCGTTGACCACGCCCCCACACGCCGTGGAGAGGCGGGGTTTACGTGCAGTGAAATCCAGCATGTTCGATATCCAGCGCACTGCTGTGAAACAAGCTAAAAAACAAACTTTAAAAGTATTAAATCACCACCATAACTGCTTTGAAACGTTTGAATGTTACATATGATATGATATATGATATTATATTATATTATATTATATTATTATAACTAAATGGTACAACAACCTGTGATCAAAACCCAATGTGTTAATTAAAAAACAGCAACAACACAAACACAATAGTATCAGTTAACCTCACAAACATACCTGCATGCATAGGCTACATAAACAAACACTTATTAATTGAAGCAGTAAACATTCAGTTAATGGAAAAAGACAGAATTACGTTGTTTTGTCTTGTGCCAGTGAATCTGAATCAAGTCATCTGGTTTAATTGCTTAGTGTGGCTATGTAGCATGCAGAGTGAGGGTTGAAGGCACAAAGGAACAAAATAATACAACATAATACAATGCAATAGGCTACAATACAATATAATAGTATGATATCCTCCTGAGAACCAGCAAAAAAATGGATTGAAGGCACAAAGGACACATATAATGTAATATAAAATGAAAGAAAAAGCTAAATCTTAGCTGTTTAAATCTATTTAATCCATTTATTTATCTATCTATATAATATAATATTATTCTGTAGTGTTCAATTGTGTAATCGAACATTACAGAATAATTTAAAAACAAAACGAGAGCAATACTGTAATAACTCGTTCTGATCCTATTGTCCCTAGAATCTTCTAAAGGTTCCAACATTTGGCTAAAACAACAAAACATCTGAATATAATACATATGCACTGTGGCAATGACTCTCATGGTCAAGCAAACAATCATATAAAGAAATGGATAAGAACAGAAAGACAAATTGTCTGAGGACAGTCAACATTTACAAACACATGCTCCAGATTCACAGACATAGTCTGTACGATAAGCAGGATGAAAAAAAGAGAGAGAAAAAAGAAAGGAAACTGTGAACAGAGAGCGTTCACTCACTGCTGACAGTGTTGTATTTGATCTCAGTGTTCCTATCAATGTTGTATAAGGGTTTTTTATGCATAATAGTAACTAGAATGTGATCAAACAGTTTAAAATAGCTGGGCTAAGATATATAAAAAAAAATTTAAACTGCAGAAATATGTTAATCCAGTATACATATTATACCACCGGTTAGAATTGTGACTGACCATAAAATACAATTTTTCTCACACTTTTCCCAAAAAAAAAATTATTGATTATTTCAAAGGGTTACTAATGACACATCATTTGGATATTTTCATGTCTGGAAAAATTTGGGATTAAACGGGTTAACAGCTCCCACTAGCTGTGGTGGAGCAGTTATGAAATATTGTTCTTGTAAATATGGATATTTTCATGTCTGGGAAAAATTTGGGATTAAACGGGTTAAAATGCGTTTTAAACAAAGTTAATTGGTTTTCATTACCCATTTTACTCTTAGTAATTTAATAAAATTTCATAATTTAAAAATTGAGTGCAGAAGTATCGAATCGGTATCGATATCGACGATACTGCCTTGAAAAAAATATCGGTATCGTATCGAAAACAAAATAAGGGTTATCGCCCATATTGTCCCTAGAATCTTCTAAAGGTTCCAACATTTGGCTAAAACAACAAAACATCTGAATATAATACATATGCACTGTGGCAATGACTCTCATGGTCAAGCAAACAATCATATAAAGAAATAGATAAGAACAGAAACACAAATTGCCTGAGGACAGTCAACATTTACAAACACATGCTCCAGATTCACAGACATAGTCTGTAAGATAAGCAGGATGAAAAAAAGAGAGAGAAAAAAGAAAGGAAACTGTGAAATATTTATAAGATGGTTGCAATAGTCGGAATGAAGAAGTAATGTCTGTGTTGATATTATAAAACAAATGTACTATTTTTGATGGCTTGTACCAACAGATGGCGCCAAACATATCAATTTACCTGCAAAAACCTTCACACCAAAAGCAAAGCACTCGACATTTTCAATGCAAAGAGCATTTATATGCATCTTACAAGCATGCTGAGATCCTTTTTAGCTTTTGCTATAAACATGGATAATCCTGCTGCCTCTTTCACAGCTATATGACAATCTGACAGCTTTGATGCTCAATTTATTCCAAGATGGTCCAAAAAAGCGAGATCCCCCCCCAGAGCCAAGGGTTATAGACCTGCCTTTTTCACAAGCTTTCCCTCGGGATCCGTTTAACCCAGTGGCTAGTTACAAAACTGAGCTTCGGCGAGCTTGAGGGGTATGAAGTAGGTCTAGCTTACCTCAGTTAATGGGCTGTGCTGGAAAACAGCATGGGAGGCCATCAAATGTATAAATACA